CGGGGCCCTTTTGCTACCACATACATTAGCCCTGTGCCTCTCACCTGCTGATCCTGACAAGCCTGGGATAAAGGGTTAAAGGCTGAAGGGTACTTAGGGTGGGGATCAAGTTTTCACTGAAGACACATTCAATATACAGATCAGACTGTTCACCAAGCTTTATCTAGCAAGTAACTATATACAACATCACAGCTCTCTGTATTATTGGCTTAAGGTTTATGGTACAATGAAATACTGAAATATGAGGACTGAAGCTTTGCTGTATTTTTAATGCATCTTTGATGTTGGTTATTTATCCTTCTCTGAACATTTTTTATGTCTTTTCTCCAGAGTGCAGTCACCATTGAGTTTCCCCCTGATGTCCCAGCTCATTCAAGTCATTCTGTTTTTGTTTCATTTAGACTGCTGAACTGAGTCCTCGTGACAGGCAAATACTGAGAGCACTGGAAACTGAAAGGAGAACTGCCAGCGACAGGGGGAAAACACAACCCTGCCGCTAATGGGAAACATTCTAGGCATAGGCTAAAAAAATAATCAGTGTTACAGGAATAATTCTTAAGGATGTTTTACCCCTTGTCAAATTCCTGAAATTGGGAGGGCATCAGAGCAGCACACAGACCAGCTTCCCTTCACCTCTTTTGGAGTTGTGGGCACTCAGCGTCTCCGGCAAATCAGACTCTTTATGTGCATCTCATGTAGGGCAACAAAAACGGAGGTATCCCAAACCAGTAGCTAATGCCGAACCCTTGGATCTAAGCAACATGTCCAGGGTCACTCTGTGAATCAGCGGTAGGCAAGAATGGAACCCAGAAATCCTGATTCTCAGGCTCTCTACTCTAATCCTTAAACAACATTCCCAGCCAAATGGTTACATGTATAGAATGTAGTGAGATTTTTGGTAAAAATCCATTTAAAATGTTTATTAGCAATAGAATATATTATTTAAGTGGAGTTGTGTTGTCTGGGTGTTTAGACTGCATAGGACAGGCATTGCACGCCAAGGAGAGGAAGGATTCCATCGGCACAGGAGGAGAACCGCTGCATGCAATGGCCCTATTATGCCAAAGCACCAGGAAAAGATTTGCCTCCTAAACATTCAAAATAGTGTGTTAGTCACACACATCTCCCTTTTCTCCCTCTGCCTACAATGTTTCCCATTAGCAGCAGGGCTGTGGCTATTTTATTTAAAATGCTTGTTTGTCATGACAGTTCTTAATATAGCTACAGGGCATTCTTAATTTAGCTAGACGCTATGAAGGCTTCAGCAGTTTTCCTGTTCTGATTTCTCTTGCTTCACTTTAAGCACTGGGAGATCCCCTTACCCACCCGATATGGGAAGAAGCAGGCAATATGGCCTCCACATCTCTCTGTCATAGCATTTTGGTGCTAAAGAACAAGGTCCCAGCAGACGCAAGCCTGCTGATAAGCTGGGACTCTTCTATAGGGTTTTTTAATAAAGGCTTTCAAAGTGGAAAGGCATTTGGTTAGCACTTTGCTACCCCTTGGAGTGGGCTCTTTGATGGCTCAGGATACTGCTCACGAGCAGAAGATTAAATGGAATTATTTAAATAGCAGCACCAGACACAGAAATTCCAGAAATGACAGCTTCTGCTCTGATGTCAAAACCCTTGAAACAAAGCAGGCTAGTGACTCATAACACCAAACCAAGTTTGGCCTTGGGCAGGGAGGGAAGCACTAAAATGGATGTGGAATCATTTCATCTAAGGCAAACTCAGTGCCTCCCCACCAACCAAACCTGGAGTCAGTTGCCTGTAGTACAAAGAAAATACCATTTTGAGATCTGAAGCTTTACTCACAAAGGAGCTGAGAACAGGGCAAAGACTGCCAGGGCCTTGCCTTAAAGGGACAGGCTGTTTCATACCACAAACTTCCTTTAAACTTCCATTATATAGGAGAATAATAGAAAGTAGAGATGGAACAGGCTTGCTAGGTCACATCTAGTCTATCCCTACTCCAGCTGGTGTTCCCTATACTACACCTCTAATTCCAGTCCTATTTTACCTGATTTAAGTACTGAGGCTTCCGCTGCTTCCCTTGGGAGACTATTCCACAGTCTAACAGATTTTACTGTTTGAAAAATGCTCCTGGTAATCAGTTAAACATTTTCCCCTTTTGCTCAGTTGGCTCCAAATACCCCTAGTTATTAACCTCAAATATTCTCTCCCTACTCTGTGCTTACAAGTATTCAAGGAATATAGATAGTTCTATTATCCCCTTACTCATCACTTAGCCAAGTTATACATGTTCAGCTCTTTTCATCCTTCCTCATAAATCAATCCCTCCAGGCCCTGTAATCATTGTAATTTTTCCCTAATCTTCTTTACCTTTCAACAGGATTAGGAATAATACAGCCTCTTTTCAAGCCGCCAGCCAGCAGAGGGCGAGAGAGTTGCTAAAGGAGAAAAACAAAACTAGGCAGGACTGACATATTTCATCCAGCAGAGGAGTGGTAAAACACCCACGCACAACCATGGACATGGTATTTCTCCGGTAAAGAAATCTTCTGCAGAGAGCTGCTCAGACAGAGACACCTACATAGATGTGCAGGGGAGCTAGGCTTTGTAATGCACTCAGGATTTCAGCCTTGACCGGATAAAAGAACTCAACAAAGGAAGAAAACCTGAGGAACTGGACATAGAGAAGGGCAAAGAGTTTGTATGATGTTTCCTGCCAGGAATCAAAGCTCAGGGAGATGCAAAAAGCCAGCCATTCCAGGGAGAAAAAGTGGTGTAGGCCTTGTTAAATAAGGATTTAAAATGAATGGTCATGAAGGCATTTGGGCCATTAGGTGCTACACAGAGCTGAGTGGATACTGCAAACTATCGTTCACTAACATTCTGGGTGAAGAAAAACCAGGCCTTTGCTTTCACAGTCTTCGAACCTTATCGTCAGTCTGGTGCAAGTAAGTATTCAGCACAGAAGTGCTTGGGAGCCATCCTGAAAGCAAAAATAAGACCATTTGACTTGGCTGACCAATTGGGGAACTATGAATACCTGAACCAATGGTCATAGCTTGTTTGCAGGGCTCAAAAACATTCACATAAACCATTTGGTGGATCTTTGTGAACAACAAAAAACAACCAAACAAAAACACCCCGTCAAAACCGAATTTTTTAGGGGCTATCACAAATGTGATGTGCTCCAATCTTCTGTAATGTCAGCAGCAAACATGTCAGGTTAGCAATTGCTCTAATGATTGGGTATTAAATTTTTCAGCTACACAAAACACTGTGATGTTAGGCCTTTACCACGACAGCCTCGACATTTCTACGTGTTCTCTCTTTGACATCAGGCTCACCCTACAGGCAAAGGGTCCCTGAGAAGGGAACTCTCTTGGTAACGGGCAGCCTGTATTCTGTGCTGCTTCTCATATTCCCTTCCTTGCCCTGCTCTCCCAATGTGTCAGTAAATCAGAGCGTTGTAGTTGCAAAGCTTAGGCTATTGTGAATGTCAAAAGCTTTGGCTTATTGCACAGGGTCAGTCATTAGTATTTCTTTCAGGCTATTAATAGGACCCACAGAAACTCTCAAAGGCGGATTATCAGAAGAAAGTGGACTTGGCGTGGCTTTTAATGAATTGTAATTAAAACAGCAAGTTTCCTGAGTACTTCTCTGAATGTTTTCCCCCTCCCCTGCCCCTCTGTTGGCTGCATTTAGACTAGAAACTAACAGTCTGGGACTCTCACTGTGTAGTTAATGCAGTGTTCTTAACCTACACAGCAATAATTTGACACAGTCCTCTCACACCCTTCTGCTGAAATGGTGCAGGTTGTCAGGCAGTTATCAAAATGGAATTTTCTTTGAGACACAGATTGAGCGCAGACTAAAGCCCTGATCTTCCATATGGATCCATCAGTATGGATCCTTGCACCCAGGGGGAGTCCCAACAACTTCAGCATGACTGCATGAGCCGAGTGGTCCATGCTGGCAGATCCCAATGTATGATATTTAAGGAAATGCAGATGAGAAGTATTTGATCCTCTACTAAGACAGCTGATTCATACTGCCCAACACTGCGGTTATGAGTCTCTCTGACCTCAGTAATATAGGGCCTCCCTTCACTTCTCACACCCTTTATTAATCTTTTGGGAGCATATTGATTGAGTCCTGCTGCTGAGAGATTGTTTTGCTTGGGTAGCAGCAGGATTTAGCCCCCAGACCTGCAAAGTACTGAGCACTCTTGACCTCACTGACTTCAACCAGGTTTTGAACAGTCCTTTATATTCAGAAACATTAGCTAATTCTCTTGCACCCCAATTATTAGTACTCTCTCCATTTCAGGGATGGCGAAAGAATCAGAGAGAGATGACAACTAGCTTGGGATCACGCAGCGAGTCCATGGCTAGCACACACTGCCTCTCCACAAGGAGACTTAAGGCTGGGCATTTTCAAGTCTGGTTTTGATTCCATTAAACAAACTCTGGTAGCTATTTTGCTGCAACCACCAAGGCTCATATGGTCGATACTTCTATTTCCATTAGGTCTAATCACCTCATCCCCCCCCACTGCAGTCTGCACAAATATCAATATTTATTACAGAGAGAAATATTTACAGCATTCCATCCGCCTCTTGGCACTCTTTAAAGGGACAGGAAAGCTTTGGTTTCTTTTAAAGGAAAGACACTCACAAACATTTGCCTTTCGCTGTCCATGAAAAGATGGGCTGCTATGGCCAGTTAGAAACTGAACCTAACAATGAGATACAGAGACAAAGATGACAATGTTGGCTGGCACTCGGAGTGCGTCGTTTTGGACTTTCTCTCACTGTGAGTAAAGATTCTCCCTCTCCCCAACAACAACAACAACAAAAAGTCTTATGCTTCACCTTTGGATGACCTTGCATATGCTGAGAGAAAAATGCAATTGGAGTCTGTCCTGATCTTATGTGTAAGTATAAGAGTGTCTCAAACAGAAAAGCAATAAATATGTTATCTCGCTAGGTCTACGCTTTTCAAGTATCACTTGCTGTAAACATTGGTTTTAGTTTGTTTTTTTTACTGCAAGAAATCACATTGTGGCTGGAACAAAATAACACTAGTCAACTAACAGCCCAAGCAACTAAGTCAGTCTCAGCCCAGCTCTGCTCGACTGTACAAGATCAGCCAATTGGTTTTGCTTAAATTGCACCTGTAGAAACCTACAATGCACCAATTTCAGTTTAAACAGTATATGACTTCCTTAGTTTCAAATGCCACGAAGGGCAGAACATTCTTCAGGAACACGAGTGCAGCAAACAAAAATACCGCGGAATCTTTACACCGGAGTGGAGCTGGGTGTTGAAATGGAATGGAAATAAAAGAGAAAAATGTTTAAAATCAGACCCACCATCATTCAACAGTAAGTGGGATTTAAAAAATATATATATAATATCTATATATTGACACTATATAAATACACAGATAAAGCTGGATTTCAAGACAAACAGGTTAGATGATCTGATGGTTCTGTAATTCAGGTCAAGTTCTTTCTGGTGCCACTGGATTTATTTCCAGCTAAACTATTATCTTCCTTTGTGTAAAAAGGTTTGGTGCAAACTTGTGCTCATATTTTTTAAAAGTTCCCAGGAACAGGAATAATTTCATTTTCCAATTTTTCCGATTAGCATAGGAGTCTATTCGCAGAACGTCTGAGCCACACACCACGGGAAACTGACGAGTGAGAGAGAGAGAATTTGGAATTGAACTTTGTTGGCTGAATTATCTGTGTGGCCACTGTGGTTGCTTTAATTTTTTTTCTTTCCCTCTTTTTTTAAACCCTTTAAATACAGTTTTCATTATTTCCTAATATATATCAAATGATTTTCATGCAAAGTAGCAGTCACGGAGGCATCCAGACTCCTCAGGTTCCTTCCTTCCACACATATGACTTGAAGAATTACTCCAGCTTGACCCTATTTTGCATTGAGATGCACTGTCCTTCTTGCTGTCCTTTCAAACTGGAATCTAAATGATTTTGAACTTAGTATCTGGGACAATCCCTGCTTCCCCCAGAGGATGTTTCAGTATTTCTATGGGTCCGGTGCCTTCCTTGCTTGTTCATACTCTTCATTCCCAAGAGTAACTAGTTCCTTCTCCTGGTCCTAGGAGCACCATCTCCTTTCTTCAGCTCTCAATAGACATGGCACAGAGAAGCTGTTCTACTTTGTATGCCAAGCGCTGCCTGCGCGCCTGCTCATCCTGCTCCAGAGCCCCGATGATCTGGGGCAAAATAAACATGATTAATGTAAACATTCCAGAAAGGAGAGAAAAAGAAAGAAGGGAGGATGAGGGGAATAAATAAATACAGAGAGAAAAATACTCAGAGATGGACTCTAGGTGTTAATGATAACATGCAGCAAAGATACCTAGGATGGGTCCAGTGTACTGAACTCCCTTCCCTGGGCAACACAGCGGCAGTGGTTAGTGAAGCTGGTAAAACAGAAGTACTTGGGGCAGGCTAAGTTAATGCCGCTGGGCCAGTACAGGTCTGGCAAGCCTTGCCCAGGAGTTGGGAGGGCCACCTGAGGCTTACGGGTCACTCCCCAATCTGAATGCTCTCCGCGCTTGGAGGGCTGAGGCTGGCCTGTTGCTGTCAATCCCTCCCCTTAGTTTTGTTCCTTCAAAGAAACTTAACTAACGAAAGACAAACAAAGCACTGAGTGCTCTTCCATTCCCAGCCATGCTGATTTATTTGTTGGACTGTTTGCTGCATGTTATACTATCAACACAATCATTCCCCTGCTCTTGTACCGTTGACTCTACATCCCGTCTCATTTAGCATGAAAGTTATGAGATTTTAGTCCCTAATCGGAAGATGGCTGTGGCATTGTATCATAAATGCATACATGCAATTAAATGACAAAAACCTTCCTTTTAATGGATGTAATTGCAAAACAGGTTCTTCTCACAATGAAAATGAAGGGGTGGAACAGATGGCGAGAACTTGGTTTCAAGTGATGCATTCATTAAAGGAGCCCAGGCTGCCAGCTTTGCTGTGACACAAAATTTGTGCCATATTGGAAGTTCCCTGAGGATGTTGGAATTTGTGAGAGGGTTCGCTGGGGCAGGACGATTTCCCCCTGCATTTGGAAGTGGGCTGCACCGAGGGTGCACCCAGGATCAGGAATTCAGAGCTGCCCACACAATGCTTCAAGGGGTTGGTTCTCATGGGATGTGCTGCACTGGCAACTCTGGAGACCAAACCGCCTACTGATGCACAGCACAGATACAGCATAGCTAGCAGCAGTGCAAGCTTCAACCGTGCTGCTCTACCAACCAGCTCTGAGGGATGAGAGGGGAAATTGGCCTCCAGGCCCCATTCAGTCTTTGGCCTCCCTTCTGAGATTGCCAGCCAGGAAGCCAACTGTGCTATGTGGAGAAGCCTATTCATGCCAGGAACAGGACTGGGGCTAACCACCTGTCCAGGGTGACTTTCAGTCACTACCAAGCCAGAGTGGAACTGAACTGCCGACCTAGAGGTGAAAGGCTCCGTATCCCACTTACACCCAGAGCCACCTCCCAACGGACTCTATCTGTCTAAGGTGGCTTGGTGGCAGGATTGCAACATATCCTGTGGCCCGGGGGTGGGGGCCTGCTCACCTCTTCACTGTACTTGCTGACGTAAGAGTAGATCTCATTGAGCGCGCTCAGCATGTTGAACTCAATGGCATGCAGGCGCGACTGCTCCGCGAGGTAGGCATTCATATCCTGGTCACTGATGGCTGGGAGCTTTGCAATGTCTGCATAATACCTGGGGAATGAAAGGTGAGAGACTAGTGAAAAACATATTGGCAAGGAAGGGCACCATGTACGCAGCAGGGATGCCAATGCCTCCTGAATGTAAAACCCCAAGGGTTCAGTCTCAGCTAGCATTCATTGCCCAGAACGGGGGTCTGCAGTTCTATCTGGCCTTTGTGAAGCCAGCAAGGCCTCTCCTCCCTATTGCGCCTAACCAAGCAGGAGCCACGGCGAATCTGGCCCTGTGCATATCAAAGGAAACATTTTACCCCACACTGAAATGCAGCAACTTCTGGAGTCCTGGGAACAGAGAAGCTTTATGACTCTGCACAGTAATACTGTGTAATGTCCATCCAAAAAGTACACCAAAGTGGAGAAACTGAGGGATAATACCTTATCCAGTGGAAACTACAGGGGGGATTTGTGTGAGGCAGACAATAATGATCTGAACTGCAATCTGGGTCAGGCACCAAGGCTAACACTCCAAGATAGTGCCATGGGATCTTTAATGGTTGAGGTCTCCATTGCACATCTAATCTGAACGTCAGCACCGACCATAGCAGCATGCGTGTTTGAACTGTACTGTTTGCTCTCTCCCTTTCAACCATCCTACAATGTTTGCTCGGGAACCTGCCAACTGGGAGGCAGACTGGTTCACCATTCATTCATGGTCAGCATAAAATTAGCGAGGAAACCTCTCATTTTAGTTTAAACTCTACCATTAAAAATTCTTATTATTCACTACATTCCTCTGATAGGTAGTCAAAAACCAGCAAGACTATAGGTGACACACCTGTCCAACAAGAACATAAGAACAGCCATATTGGATCAGACCAATGGTCCAGCTAGCCCAGCGTTCTGTCTTCTGACAGTGGTCAGTGCCAGGTGCTTCAGAGAGAATGAATAAAAGCATCCGCCAGAACCACCATTGTCCTCCTGCAAATGCTCCTCTGCTGCGAGACCTACAGAACACCTGACAATGGTCAGATGGCTGGCGTGCTGTGATTTCTGCTTATCACACTGACCAGCATCGCCTCCTTGTGCTGCCCTTGTCTGTCTGTTGTATTCACCCCGTCCCCTCATCTTATATTTAGGCTGGAAGCTTTTGGGGACAGGCACCATCTTTTTGTTGTGTGTTTGTACAGCGGCTAGTGCAGTGGGGTCCTGGTTCACGATGGGGGCTTGGCAATAATGATGCTTGCCATTGATTCAGAGGAAGAACACCACTAGCACCATGTCATCTTCCATCCAAGATCTCATCGGCTCCAATGCTGTTTAGACCATGGAATCAGGCTACGTGATGCTATGGCTGCAGGTCCAGCAGTGCACATGTAATGCTGACAGACCTCGGCAGGTGGGATTAAACCTGGGACCTCTGAAGCTAAATGCATGAGCTAAAAGCCACATGCCGCTTAGCTAAGGCTGCAGCAGACTCATTAATCACTAGATGGTCTAGGTGCCAGTACAGCGGGACAAAGCCACAGATGCCGACTTCCTCTCTTCCTGGGGGTGCTCAACACCCAACTCTGCCCCAGGCCCACCCCCACTCCACCCCTTCCTCCAAGCCCTCACCCCTGCCCGACCTCTTCCCGCTCTCTACCCTGAGCACGCCCCGTCCCCACTCCTCCCAGTGCCTCCTGCATGCTGCTGAACAGCTGTTCTGCGGCGGGTGGTAGGTGCTGGGAAGGAGGGGAAGGAGTTGATCAGCGGGGCTGCCGGCAGGCAGGAGGCGCTGGGAGGAGGGGTGGAGCTTGGCTGCCATTGGGTGCTAAGCACCCGCTAATTTTTTTCCATGGGTGCTCAAGGGCCGGAGCACCCACGGAGTCGGTGCCTATGGACAGAGCGCCGCACCAAGCAGGCATGGGTTACATACACCCTACAATGGCTGACCAGGTGGTGCAATGAGACAGCTGCTGCTGCTCCTGACCATGCTCCTGCACTGACCTACCTTTCTACCCAGCTCTTGTAGCTGGGGATATCCTTGGCATAGAGCAATTTGTTGGAGGGGGAGTCCTTGCCCAGGCGGTGCTCTGAGGTGGAACAGGAGTCCATGAAGGTCTGGGCGACGACAGAGAGGCAGGCGTCTGTGATGCTGCCTTTGTGGATATCGAACACAAACTGGGGGTTTTTAATTACGTTCACCCAGAACCGGAGAGGGAGGCTGCAGGAAAACAAAGGAATAAAAGTAAGTCACAAACCCTAGAGACAGGAGGGGATCTTTCTTTCCCATGTATTTCAGGTCCCGCAATGATCTGCTCAGGGCTATGCCCCTCATAAGCACTAAGTGGCAGTAATGGCCCCACAGTCCGTAGTGGTGCCCTAAGCAGAGCTGAGCCCATCTCATTACCAAATCCGGGCCAGGCGAGTGGCCACTTTTCTTCTCTGATTTTCCAGCCACCCCTTGGCCCAGCCCCTGCTGACCCTGCCCACTCTGGAGTGGCTGCCTTTGACTTGGTCTTGTACCACATCAAGGGGCAGCCAGAAAGGCCCGGGTGCTGAAGCCAAGTGGACTGCAGGAACCGTACTGTAAGGCAGAGAGGAAACTCTCCATTTTAGGAGAGCCCCCCAGTATTTGCCAGTGTTGGGTGCTGGGGTTTAGGAGGCGATCCAGGGGGCTCGGGAGGTCAAGCGCAGTCTGTTAGTCTGTATCTCAGCGTTCTTTAGAGCGAAGGTCTGTGGCACTGAGCTGGTGAGGAGGTGGGGTGCTACTAGAGTCCCTGCAGTGAGCAGAGTCCAGGGCCTGTTCCCAGCCCGTCACCCTGGAAGGAGCACATCAGGTATCTCTGCCTTCCCCTTACCCCCAAATCCTGGGCCTTGGTAATCAAAGGAGAATTATTCTTCCCTTTTCCTTTGGCTCTGTAGCAGGATCAAAACCCAGCTGCTGCTTTCTGTTAGCTTTCAAGTCCCAGCTCTCCCTAGCTAGCCGGCTAGCTACAACCAAGGCTTCAGCCTTAACCCTTGGAGCACTGCAGATGAGTTGCTCAATGCCATCGCACAGCAGAGTCTCTTGTCAGTGGCCTCAACCCTCTACATGCTCCCAATCGCTGCTCTCTGCACGATGGCCCGGAACTGCTTCCAATGCTGACCGACTCTCCGGCTACTTCCCAGACCCCCCTCAGTTGGCTAAACCGCCTTCCCTCTTCCAAGCTGTCACACCTGTTCTCAATACCCCCCTTCCCTCACATCTCACCCTGCGCCCCTCCCAGCTCTCCTGCTACTTCTAACAGGTGACCTGAGTCTACAACCCCAGCTACTAAAGTCTCTCAGTTTCCAGGTGGGCTCCCCCAGGAGATCTGATGTGGTCTGAGACTTAACCCTTTCCTTTCTCAAAGGAGCCATGCCTGGTCCTTTTCTAGCTGATGGAGCACAGGGCTCGAACTCCTGAGCGATACTCCCATCTAGGGTGACCAGATGTCCCGATTTTATAGGGACAGTCCCGATTTTTGGGGCTTTTTCTTATATAGGATCCTATTACCCGCCCACCCCCGTCCCAATTTTTCACACTTGCTGTCTGGTCACCCTACTCCCATCCCGAACGCTGACCTCGGTAATATCTGGGACAAACCACTTCCCCTCTCAGTGCCTCTATTCCTCTGTCTGACAATGCTCGGCTCTCTCCTAGGGGCATAGCAAGCACTCACTAATGTTTGGAGAGCACTATGGAAACGTAAAGACACAGTGAAGGCTCAATGTAATGATTAGTTTGAAAACTAGAATTTACACCTCTGCCCTGACTCCTCCTTTGTTCCCGTATGCAAAGCTGTACAATGGCTGGGTCCCCATCAGCAGCCGGAACCCATGTGGTTTGATGGCGGTGGTAGAAAAATCTTTGTTGTTCGACACCGTTTCCCTTTATAGCTTTAAGAAGTGTCATTTTATTCAGGATTCAAACATTTTATCCTAATAGCTCCTTCTTCTAAAGCTTTCAATAAATTGTTTTTAGCTTCCTACGGCCTTAGCAGGGAATCCGGCTTTTGCAGACATGATGATTTGAGGCTTTTTAAACCATGAGGGACTGGTGAAAAAAAATAAAAAATCTTCAGGGGGCTACCATTTGTTATGGATTCCCCACCCCTGACCCCAGAGGTAAATTTCTAACCCACGGAGCTTTTAATCCTAAAATAACAGCAAAGGCAAAGATGTAATCGCTCCAATTGTTTTGAGAACATTGAGTCCAAGCTGCAGTTTGTGTCAATTGCACACAGTTTAAGTGTGAGCTCCATTCATCTGCTCTCTCTTCCCTTCTCCCTCGCTCCCTGGAGCACGGCTCCCGAAGCATTTGGGAAGGAGCAGCTGCTAACTGACCTGTCACCTCTGAGCAGTAGCAGGCATTTCCCTTTTGATAATATCATACATGTAAGGTATGGCTGTTAACTACCTGCCTGTATACAACCCAGCCATTTCCAAAATCTCCTCTTCTCATTATTGGAGGGCAGGGGTGGTCTTGGGGTTAAAGAACTGGACTGCGATGCAAGACACCTTTGTTCAATTCCCAGCTTTGCCACAGTTCCGTTGTCTGTCTTGTCTATATAGATGGTAAGCTCTTTGGGGCAGGAGTTAGATTTTATTGTGTGTACAGAGGCCTCTAGGAACTACTGGAGTACAAACAACAACCATTAATAATTCCTACCCCTGGAATGAAAGGAGGGGTCTGGAATTTACACTCAAAACCACATTTGTCTGAGTGGTGAGGTGAAAAAGGTTTGTAGGAGGGGTATTAGTTTATCCTATAATAGCCCCTAAATAATTTAACAGGCAGTTTGCAGTTTCCTGGATGCTTCATACTTAGAAAAATAACCAGATTTTAACAGATGAAAGTTGTAAATGAAAAGGCAGGGAATGCGTCGCTTAATTCTCAGTGCTAATTTAGCTCTTTGTGGCACTGTCAATAACCTGTAGCTTCTCTGAGGTTGGAGAGCAACAGCAGAAGCTGGTGTACAAGCCAAGACGGAGATGCACTGGCAGTCCTGTCTGTGTGGTGGGGGTTCCTGATTTGAATCACAACAGGTCAGAATTGAAGTACGTCGTCACAGCCGCAAGGAGGTCCCATAATTGGGACGGCACAGGTACCGGAGGTTTGGATTGAAGAGTATTAGCAAAGCTTTGTATCAGGGGTGCCTCCTTCCATTATATCTGAGGGCAGCCAGAATGTGACAATCACCCCCAAGTGCAAAAAATGCAAAAGTTCACTGAAAATGAAAAGAACCAGGTTTGAGACTCCCAGACAGAAGGACAGGGGCAGCGTTTTGCACAAAGGAGCTTATGCTGGCATCTTCCTTGACAAGGAAAGAAGGGAGGTGTGGCAGCAGCAGGTTTATTCTGCGAAGCACACGTGCACTCCGAGCTGCCTCCAATTACACAGACGATGTCCCTCCTCCTCCCGCTCCAAGCCCCATCCCCGTGTTTCCATTCTTTTCCAGGTTGTGGATAATTGCTCAACAGTGGGGTCCACCCCCCACTCCCCATGCTCTTACCAATTGCTCTTCCAGGTGTGCCTCACATCTGTGTCGTGGATGCCGTGCTTATCTGCTTGCTCATCCAGGAAATCGAACATGTATTTTATGGCCAGTGGGAGCGCGCTGCCTCGGTGCACAGTACTGAACAAGGTCTCGAACAAGTCATCCACGAATTTCTGCAGCGTACCCTAATGGGAGCAGCAACCAACGGGGTGATGGGAGGGATGTATGCACACTCGGCTAAACAGCAACAGCAGGAGGGGACACCAGATGGTGACACGGGCTATGCACAGCTCCAGAAAGGTATAGGTATAGACCCTATAGGAATATGTAAGGTATATGTAACCTTATAGGAATGGGCTGGCTGCACTTCTGAGGCACATTGGTTTTATTCTTAATGTTAAGCACCTTTTCTTTTGCTTCTGAAATGCAATCTGTGCTATAACCATTGCTGAGGGCATTACAAAAGGATTGCAGATTCCCTAGGCTGAGGAGACGGGTAAAGCAATTGTAGCTTCCTTCCAAATTTTAGTGGCCTTTACTGCTGGTGAAAGGATGGAGCATCTAGAAGTTTTTGGAGCGATTGCCAGGAAACCAGGGCTCTATTTCTGGCTCTGCCATTGAATTGTTCTGTAACTCCAGGCACATTTATCCTCTCTGCACCCCCGCTCCCCCTGAGTAAAATGGGGATAATAATGCCCAATTCACAGACAGGTCGCAAGGCTTCATTAATGGACACTGAAGGCTTGAGACAGGGGCTGAGCATTGTGTCTTTACAGGCCTATTTATACATTTTCCAGGCAGACTCTGGTGCATATTGATTACCTTTGTAGCTAGGAGCCTAGTCAGGTAGATCTCAGACACCATCTTACTGCCCCGGTCGCCCTCCTTCTGGTCTCCATGGTCATGGTTTTTGACTAGGTGCCAGACTTTCACTCCGCTCTCTAGGTCAGGGGTGATCATGGGTGCCCTGGAGCGGAGGCTGTCTGGGCTGCCTGTGTACCGGAATGTTGAATCTGAACAGAAGGGAAGAGAAGCTGGTGATGTCCAAAGGAAGCCGCTTCTATCACTTCTCTGCCTCTCCTTAGTAGATCCCCCCTTCACTGGATTATTTGCAGAGCAATTAAATAGAATACATTGCAGACACCATTTAAAAAAGCAGCATTTGCCACAAGCGGCCACACAGGAAAGAGTGAGGGGCAGGACTTTGTCTCCGGTGAGGAAGGGGTTAACTCCAGCTGAGCAGCCCCTTGTCCAGGGGAAAGGGTAGGAGAGTGGCTGTTTGAGAGAGGGAGGTGGAAGGCTGCCTTTATGATAATCAGATTGGGCACCCAGGGCTGAACAAACCTTTGCTTTCTTGTTGTGTACTAACCTTCGCTGACGGGGCGGCTCTATGTGTTTTGCCGCCCCAAGCACAGCAGTCAGGCGGCTTTCGGCGGCGCGCCTGCGGGTGGTCCGCTGGTCACGCCGATTCGGTGGCGTTTCTGCGGGAGGTCCGCCGGTCCCGCGGCTTTGGTGTACCCGCCGGCGAATTGCCACCGAATCCGCGGGACCGGCGGACCTCCCGCAGGCATGCCACTGAAGGCAGACTGACTGCTGCCCTCACAGGGACCGGCAGGCCGCCCCCCGCGGCTTGCTGCCCCAGGCACGCGCTTGGTGCTCTGGTGCCTGGAGCCGCCCCGTTTGCTGACGCTACATCTGCTGGCGCATCATTCCAACAGCTTGCACTGGTGGTGATGTTGCCTTCTAGGCAAGGACACAGAAGCCTGGTGGTATCTCAGATACCACTGGGAGTGGGTAACTATGTCCATGTGATGACTTCGTAAGGGGGAGGGGCACACTTTTGAACACTTTTTCATGACATCATACCTTTAAAATCTGGCAAGTTTATTTTATACACATTCCTCAAGGTGACTGTGGCACAGGGAGGAGGGATAGCTCAGTGGTTTGAGCATTGGCCTACTAAACCCAGGGTTGTGAGTTCAATCCTTGAGGGGGCCACTTGGGGATTTGGGGCAAAATCAGTACTTGGTCCTGCTAGTGAAGGCAGGGGGCTAGACTTGATGACCTTTCAAGGTCCCTTCCAGTTCTAGGAGATGGGATATCTCCATTAATTATTATATTTCAGAGAACTTGAGCAGCTCAGACTCTCTTTTTATAGTTTTAAACGCCACGTACTCTATCCTCCTCCCAGTATCTCTCCCCCCCGCTACCTTCTGCTCCAGTCCAGGTCCATGTATGTGTGTGAAATAAGAAAAATGAAATGAAACAGAGACTGCACAACACAAGGGAGTACTTGGGGAGTGTCAGTAACAACATGTGGCTAGCACACAACTCTTCCCTACAGTCATCTGTTACTGTCACAGAGCTCCATGAGCCCTTTCTTCTCATTCAGATTCTGGGACTCTTCCTAACTGGTTAACCTGATTTACTCACACGCAGTCCCATTCAAAGCACAGCCATTACTCACATGCTTAACGTTAAGCATGTGCATGAGTGTTTGCAGGATCAGGGCCTTAATATCAGCTCTCCGTAAGTCTGATTGCAGCTGTCCGGCAAAATCCAAACAGGGCAGAAGCTGTGTTATTTTTAAAACAAGTGATGTGGTTCAAATGTAATAAAAAATCAAATTAAGAAGTGACTGAATTAAACAGCAGACCAATGATAGGTTGTATCTGCAGTGTGTGCTTGTATCCTTTTGGCCCCTGTGCAGGCAGGGTCAGGGGAGGGGAGGAACGTAAGAAAGGCCATACTGGGTCAAACCAAAGGTCCATCTAGCCCAGTATCCTGTCTTCCGACAGTGGCCAATGCCACTGCTTCCCTGCAGGAGCCCTGATCACACCCCTTACTTTCACCCCCTTGCTCAATACCCAACCCTTCCTGGGGGGCTGGAATAAATTCCTCTTTGGAGCATGGGTAAGGTGCTCCCTTAATCACCGCGCTCACTGCTTAGTGATACGAGGTGCTTCAGTTCCCCAAGGAAATGTATTATCCTGGCTCCACCCACCCACTATCCATTCAGCCTGTGGCCTGTGGCAGAACGTTCTGGTGAGACTATCAAACCAGCACACTATCCACCTCTCTCAAATGCTTGCTTTGCTGTGGCCAACTCAGCCTCCCAAGTCTCCACTCGCCTTTCCCAGCACCAGAAAGAGTTAAGGGGATCAGCACAGAGAAATATAACAGTTATTACAAAAGTTGGTAAAGTTTCATCCCTGATTAATACGCAGACAAATATGAATATTCCAGCCAATTTAATTAAAGCACGAGGGAGAAAAGGAGGGGGGGGGGGAGGCTGGGAAGCATCTAGTAATTCTATTTTTAAACATGGCTCTGTACTGATGCATAATATGGAAAGTAAATCTGCATCCTCATTTGCATTTTGTCTGCACAATTAGAATTATTAATATTAACATCAGCAAAGATCATGCATACTTGCAGTTCACAAATGCTCTTGCACCTGATGCCGATGAACAAGCATTGGCATTAATTCCCCAGTCTGGGTCCCCTCCCCACTTCACCTGAAGAACAAACGGAACTAAGGACTCTCACTTGCACTGATTTTTATAGGTGGCAAACAACCCTTGCTATGGTGCACAGAGTCACAATACTGTTCTGCTAGCTGGAGGGTCTCACACTATTCAGATGGCGCTGCAGAACTCTTCCGTGATGGTACTCGGAATAAAGATTTTGAGAGCCAGGAAACTGGGAAAGGAGGTGGGTCTGTCAGGAGAGCTCTCTTTGGCTAAACAGTCCGGAGAACGAAAGAGCTGAAAAAACCTGTGCGCCAGGGACTTCTCCACCATCCTTTATGAAGGTGTATTATTACTACTGTGTGTACAAAGCTATAAATGTGCACTTGGCATCTAACAGACTCAATTATTCAGACTGTAAACTCTTTAGGGCATTGTCTGTAAAATGCCTACCCATACTGCTATGCAGATAATAAATAACATTCCCAGTTCCCATGTGTGTAAAGTCTTGCATGCTGCGTTAAGAATACTCTCACTTGTTGACTGGAACTAAGCAAAATGACGAGCTGAGACCAAAAAAGCTTGTTCCGCTAATGATTCCAGGCTGGAGCCTAAAGATGAGTCTAGCAGTGGAAAAGTCAGGTCGCTGCCTGTGCGCCCTTAAATCCCCAGCACTTAACCCTGCTTCTTACCGTATCTACTAATGGAGGTTCGAGATATGCTGGCAGAGGCGGGGATGTTATAAGAGGAGGTCTGTTTAGGAACGAGTGCCACCACGGAGCGGTCTGACACCTGGTAAGGCAAAGAGACAGAAGAAAGCGGATGAGTGAGATTAGACCACCAGGAGGCACTGCTGCTGATGCCACCTTTGGAATGTAGAACACTGCCTGCTAAGCAGCAAACACTGAAGGCTGTACGTTTTAGAATCCAGACTTTGCAGGGAGCTAACAAAATGACACCTTGGTCATGACGACAGGGGGAAAAAACCGAATCACAGTAGCCTGCTGTTTTCTTTACACAAGAGAGATACCCCTCTTTATCTTGTTGTGTCCTCTGCTGGATTCAAGCCCCTGAAGGAAAGGGATGATAAATGAAGACATATTGAAGACATTTTTGGTCATTTTGATTTAAGATTACATTTTATCCAATAAAAACGGAGAAACTCCAGAATTGTTGCAATCCAATTACAGTAGTAACGCAAAGGGAATAAAACAGCTATAATAATGTTATGGACCATAAAACACTCTTATTAAACCATTTTTTATTTTAACAATTTTTATGAACTTTAAAAGTTTGATTTACAGCTGAACAAGTCATAAAACCATCTTTCAGGATCTTAAATTGTTGGGCCCTCTATTACACCAAAAAAGGATTAAACGCTGGGAAGTCAAACTATAAATGAACATTAGCACTAACGAGATTCTGTTATAGCAGGTTTTAGTGGCAGCGTTTAATTTTACCCTCCCTATAAATCTAATAGTCATTGGAAGTTTTTAACTTATCTTCATTAATTAAGAATCTACAGATTTCAATGGAATAGACCTTAGCATTTTTTAAATTCTGAACTGAAAACCTTATGATGCAGTATGGCAGGGGAATAGGAAAGTGAACCCTACAGTATCTTCAAGTTGATGTGCCTTCTAGGGCTTAGCCAGTGATTTACTTGAGAAGGGTGATGGGTTACACAAAGAAAACATCCCCTCCTTACCCCAAATTATCTGTCCCCTAGTTCTAAATACTCAATTTGCCAGCCAGGATGCATTATTCCATAAATCTGGATACTGGTCTGAGTAGGTGCTTCCGTGGAGAACTTATTAAGGACTCCTTTTCTTCTCGTGCAGTGACACCCACTCATCTATCATCTCTCCACCAATCACCCTGGAACTTCTCTCTCCATGCTGGTCTTGCTCTGACGAGCGGCATATCGGATTCTCTCTCACAAACCGTCTTGGATGGGTAAAATGAGCTGCTTATTCTTCCTCCTAAACCCTCTCCCCACTTTCATTTTCCTGCACTATTCTTCACACCACCTCCCTCCCTGTCAGCCTCATCCCTTGAACGCTCATCTTTGACTTCCCACTACCTGTACACATCCAGGCTCTCGTCACATCTTGCCACTTGACTCTCCACACCATACCGAAAATCTGACCCTTCGATTCTGGCCCTGTGGCCAAAACACACGCCTGGGCCCTGGTCAACCCCTCGTCCCTTATGGGCTCCCTGAGACCCTTATCTCTTCCGTCCATTCTGTCCAAAAGGCAGCAGCTAAAATGACCTTCATCACTCGATCAGCCCCTGTCATTCCCTCCTATGAAGCCTACCAGTGGCTTCCCAATACAACAAGTCTGAACTTCATATCCTCTGCAAGATCCTGCAAAGCTCTGTTCGAGCCTCCTCTTGGATGCACTCCTCCTCCTCCTCATTCTAACCCCTCCTAAAGACTCCTATTTTTGCAAGGTCCAGAGACTTTAAACCTATGTTGATTGTCACATTAGAGGAGACACAAGCAGCATGGCTTAGAACTCTTTGGGGGCAGATTGTACAGTGGCTAGCACAATGGCACCCTGATCCACGACTAGATGCCTGTAGGTGGTTACTGCCAAACAAATGACAACCCTGGTGCAAGGGGGTGCAATACTGCCTGATGAGACAGAAAACCAAGCTTCTGACCACACGTGGTCACTATGGAACCCTGAGCACCCTCCCTGAATATAGGTGGAGTCACAGTGGTGTTGAGGCAAACTCCAACTGGGATCAAGTATCAGAGGGGTAGCCGTGTTAGTCTGAATCTGTAAAAAGCAACAGAGGGTCCTGTGGCACCTTTAAGACTAACAGAAGTATTGGGAGCATAAGCTTTCGTGGGTAAGAACCTCACTTCTTCAGATGCAAGATGATTACATTCCACCTCCCTAAATTCCCCCTGCAGTTTCAAACTGAAGGTAGTTTGAACAACTACTGCCAGTGCAAAATAGCTGGCACATTCCACCTTAGTTGCAGGAAAATGATCTCTAATGTATAATGATCTGTAAAGTGCTTTGGGATCCTTCAGGATGAAAGAAGCTATATAAATGTCAGTTATTATTAATAAATAATAATAATAATAATATGGCTTCATGTTACACACAGCAAAAATGAAGTATTTCTATTTGGCTAAGTACAACACTTCACACCTCTGTTATTTCCCCTCTTCCCGCCACCCACCTCATTTCACACAATTTATTAAGTCACTGGAAGGAACGATCAAGTGGTGATATTATTTTCTTAGGCTGTTATTAGCTGCCACTTTGGTTTAATTTCACTAAGGTGAAATCTAAGCATTCCAGTGCAAGGAATACAAAGGAAGCTCTGGATTTTCACACAAAGATGCAATCATTTCCAGGCTGCTATGGTTGGATACGGTTTCATCAGAGCTGTAGTTAACTAGGAGAGAAGTATTAAAAATTCCACACACACAGAGAAAGCACTCTCGCTCTCTGAAGTTTGGGCAGAATGACTCTTGTCAGCTAAAAAGCGCCAGTGTACAAATTAGCATCAGATGCAACATGCATTCCTTTCCCATTCTGCCTTGCTGCCACCGCACTCCGATAGAACCCTGGAAACACACGAGAAATTGACTGACTTTGTTTTACAACTTTACACATATTCTGGTTCTTCCACTGGCTTGAAACATGCCATGTGTAACCCCTTTAAAAATAATGATAAAAAATAGAGTGGGGAGAACAACAGACAAGATGTCCAGCTAATACCTTCTTTATTGACATGGCCTGGCAAGGATACCAGAGCAGCTAATGAACTACAGCTTTGGACATTCAGTAGCCAAACCACTATAGGTGTCTGAGTCTCATTTTCCATATGAATGTTCCCTGGCTGTTGCTAATTTTTCATTTAAAATAGTCTTCTAATCTCTCAGCCCTTCCAGCCTCCCAGTGAGTGATGTCTCTTCATGGTTTGCTGCCTCCAAGTTAACCCTGCGCAAGCCATTGTAAATCATTTGATGTTAAATTCCGAGTGGTTCATTTTTCTTGGGTAAGTCTGTGTGAGCATATACTACAGAGTTTAACAGGGATAGGGCTCTACAGAAATGTAGTATGATTCTACAGAAATTCTTCTAAAAGCCCTAGAGAATTTAACAGTGAATGAGACCCTTTCTACAGGTATTTTTAAGCCATCATACAGAATTCAGCAGCAGGGATACAGCTCTCTATTCAATTCTATAACACAGTTCAAAAATAATCTATAGAAAGCTGATCATTTCCTATTAAATTCTATTTGATTTTTCCATACAGGGGATGCTTGTGAAAATCAGATTAATGGCTGGGTAGACAAGATTATCAGCTGATGATGATGTAGGTGGGACGTTATCATCATAAAAAACCCAGAAAAAAAAAAATCTTGCCTTGAAGAGCTGATGAAGAAATGTGGGATTAAGAGAAAGACTTGGAATTAAATCATCAACCTAATAACAAGTGATTGCTGATACTGTCCAACAAACTAGAACCTGCAGCTGTACCATCTTAAAGTATGATCATGCTAAGCAGGAGTAAGGCTGGATTAGTTCTTGGATGGGAGACCTCCACAGAAGACAGTACTTAGGAGCTGCAGGAATTGTGTCAATTGTGTTGGCAATTCACCGATCCTTTTGATTCAGTGTCCCAGTATAGAGGTAAGGGGCTTGTCTTTCAGCTAACACTTCCAGCACGGCCTAGTAGATAGACAGAGCACTGGACTGGTACTCAGGAGACTGGGTTTCTACCTCTAGCTCTGCTTCAGTTTCCCCATCTGTAAAATGGGGATAAAAATAGTGACCTTCTTTGTAAAGTGCTTTGAAATCTACTGATGAAAAGTGCTATACAAGAGCTAGGCATTTTATTTAAAGCAAGATTCTGACCACTCATGGGTCCTGAAGATGCCATGGCCCTTCTGCCAGAGTCGAGGTGTTAGCTCCGCTATCTTATCTGAATGACAAGGCCACACAATGAGTCAGTGGCAGAGGCAAAATGCTCAGTCTACTAGCCAATGCTGCCTCTTAAAAAGAACACAAAGGAGCTTAACATTCAACGTGTTTGCAGCATGATGTGCACAGCAGAACAGCAAATGCTGTTGCAGACATCAATTGCACTTCTCCCCACACAGCTCACTACATCTTCAGGTCTCAGCGTAACATTGCTTCGCATGAGGGAAAGAACAAATGGAACATTTCAGAACCGTACAAATGTCTGATATGAAAGACGGGATGACTTTGTGGAGGTAGTGCTTATTTTCACTAGAAATGGGCCAGAACAACCCTTTGGGAGAGTTCGGATTGGACTTTTGTGGCTTGGGCCCATTATGATTTTTTTTTTTTTTTAAATCCAACTGGTTCTCCCCTCCCTACTTACCTGCTGATCACAAGTTCCCTTGCTCCTCCCCACCTTCTCTTATTAATCACTTCTTTTTCACTCACACTGTCTTGGTGCACATCTACCCTGGCGCTGGGGGTGTAATTTCCAGCTTGTGTAAACACTCTCATACTAGCTTTGATTGAGCTACAGTGTTCAAAATAGCAGTATAGGTGCAATGATGTAGGCGGCAGGCTGAGCTAGCTACCCTGAGTACAATCCCATCTGAGACCCTAGGCACATACTCTGGCATCTAGCCCATCCTGCTGCAGCTACACTTATTTTTAGCACATAGCTCAATCAAAGTGAGCACATGGACCTCAGGATACATGGCCCAAGCCAATCCTAATTTGTGCTTGCCAACTTAAAAGCCAACTGTGGTGGCCGTATCTGTGATGTGGACACCAGTCTGCTAGGAACTGAGCTAAGACCCATGAAACTCATTTCAAAGAGAGGCCACTGAATAGCCATGAGATAAGTCACCTTTAACAAACAAGCAAAGTAAAAAGGGAAAGGTTTCTGTTCTACAGGCAACTGATTAGTACCTCATGGAAAGATCTGCTTCTCTTGAGAAACCATTCTGCTCAGAAAGAGAAGTGTCCTTGTACTACACTAACCTCCTTTCTTCTAGTGTCTAATTAGGAGGGTTACTGCGAGGTAAGTTGAAGCTACAGGAAGGCTATGGACAGGGGATAAATGAAAGTCCATTAGGGGTGCAGTACCAAGCACTGGGCTTCAAGAGCAATGCCTCTACTAACTAGAAATCAGTTTCATGGGGGGTTGGATACAGTTCCACTCCAACACATTCCTTCTCCCCTACAGCAGAACATTCCAGCATGTGGTAGACAGATGGACCTGGCTGAGTACGTACCTTTATCTCTCTCTCTCTCTCTCTCTGACCTACCATAGTTAACACTTTCTAGCTGCTCAACTCTCACCCAAGGCAGGCTATGCTTGGCTGGTGTCATGAGCGTAACAGCAGTAAGAGACAGAAAGAAGCTTGTAGGTCATCTGGTCCATCCTGGTCACTGTGGGATGCAGCATCTCCGCTAGCATTCTGACCAGTCTAGTTTCAAATGACCCCAGTGATGGGGCTCCTGATGCTTCTCTTGGGAGACTCATAACAAATTTCACCGCTTCTCGATTAAGAAACATTTCCCAATGTTCAGGTTTACGTTTACTGTGCTTGGGGCTATATTCCCTTGACCGACGGCACACTCCTCTGTGACTGCCTTTAATGCTGAAGCTGTGCGATTGCTGCACAGGACACAGGGTGAAGGCGACGCCCCCTTGTTCCTAAAAACTAGGTGCCTTTGGTATCCCCTGAACGAGAACTGAGAATCAACATGTAGGAAGATTGAGAGTGAGAAACTGGAAGAGACTAAGGTGCCACAAGTACTCCTGTTCTTTTTGCGGATACAGACTAACACGGCTGCTCCTCTGAAACCTGGAAGAGACTAGTCGTCCATGTAGCTTGGTGCCCTGCCTCACTGGATCAGGTGGCTAGTCTGCCCCCATAGTGCCTGGTGGCCTACAGACGATGCTTCAGAGACAGAAACCCCTCTCCCTTCCTATACTGCCCTCCCCTTTCTCTCACTTAGGCTTCTATTTCCAGGCCTGGGTCTCTGACATGATAGCCCTCTGCAGCCCCCACATCTTTAACCGTGACAGCGCAGTCCTCTCTCTGCATACCCAGTCTATCTGGTGAGAGAGGCTGGCATTTTTAATTTAGTCAATTTTCAACTCTGCTAGTTTCTGTAAGATGTGTGTCAGGGCTGCTTTCTCGTCTAATGCACGAGCACACTGAACCATTCTGGTTTATCATAAGAACGTGACCTCCCTGTCTGTCTTGTTAGACGAGATGCCGAGGAATTAAATTTCTGCTTTTCTTTCCCTTCCGCTTGGCTGCTTTCTGGGAGCTCTGCGTCAGGGATGGTTTCTTACCTGATAATGCATCAGGGTGTTTAACCGCTTCCAGTCGCCCTCAATCTTGGTGGTGATGTCTTCATCCTGCAGGACCACACGAGCTATCCGGCCTTGCCGCCACTCTGAAGGGAAGGCGAGAACAAGCAGACACGATGGTCAGGGATGAAAAGCCACCCGCCTCTTCTGTGCACATCAGCCTCATGTGACATTGTATGAGAGATGAGTCTCTAAGAGGCCAAGCTCCCAGGAAGGGGTGTTCAGCGAAAGGGCTGACTTCTGCTCTTGATTATTCCTGTGCAGCCCTAGGGAAGTCAATGTGGGTTGCTTCCTTGCAGCTGAGAGCAGAATTTCCCCCAGAGTGGGGGAATGTAATTATATTTTGGGGTGTTTATCTGAACTAAGGGTCCTCCCCCCCCAACACTACTGTAAATATATGGCCTTGGAGATGGAGGTGCCTTGTGTAAAAAGTCTGAGGTGTCAGTCACTTGCTCACTGGACAATCGCTCCACTAAGACAGTTTTCTAGGGGACATTAACAGGGTCTGCAGAGTGCAATGGCTAAGACAGGTAAAGAGTTTGACCCAGTGTTGTGTCCTGCAGAAACAGCATCTCCGCTGGGTGAGCGGTGTCGTGTGTGTTTGGGGGAGAGGCGGGGGAGGTAAGGATAGAGCAAGTGTGCACAAAGCTAGCCATCCTGGCTCTAGCCAATGCGATCCGCTTCCTGAACATTACAAATCTCTCTAAGAACTACCTCAATACTGGCTACCTCTCTAACCCCCCCGCCCACACACACTTCTCACGGGGCAGGGATGTTCTTACCCAAGTCCATGTCGACAGCCCTTGGCCTTTGGGAATAGGGGACGTTTTTGTACACCGCATCCAGAATCTTCTCTTTGACCTGAGTGATGGTGTCGCAGTTCAGCACCTTCACGGGGATCTCTGGGCTGTTCTCGTTATCGGGGTTCACACAGTTCAGGATCTAGAGAGGGAGAAGTCATCTCAAACGGCTCTCAAAAGGGCATCAGAGAAACATCCAGCATAACAGTGACAACGTTCATCGTGGGACAGAGACACTTAACACTGAATTCCCCTGAAAAGCCACAGAGTCTACATTCATATCACAGCTGTATATCATATCATAGCATATCACAATATCTAGAGTCTCCTTGGGAAGCTCATTAAACTAAGAGCTTCAGGATGTCCATTGGAGTTATGTTTAGGGGAGGGCAAAGGCATGGAGAGCTATAGATATATAAAAAAGGATGACAAGTGTCTGCAATTCCACATGTAAACCCTGATTTTCCAAACTTTAGCAGCCAGGGCTGTTCGCACACAATCAAGTTAGGTACATACTTTATTTGCACATGGCCCTGGCACCCTGAGGTTTTGAAAATCGGGCCCATAACATTACGTGCACTTACATCTTACAGATTATTGCACATGCAACACTTGTGGGCCACAATGTTGGAGTATGGGTTGAGCTGGCTGAGAATTTGGGCCATAAAATTGTGTATTTCCTGCTTGTGCTTTTGATGAAGGACCAATTCTGACATGAAGCAGCTAGTTCTACCCTGGGGCATCAGAGGTGCATATATCCTGCCATTCCTGTATGGCTTCTCTTCACTTACAGTAGGTCACTTCAGCTGGAGAGGATGCGTACAGTTCAAAGCCAGGTCCCACAGACAGCCAACTCACCAATGTTTTGTACTCAATTTGCTGCCGGATCAGCTTGTCCTCACTCAGAGAATAGCGTGCCTCCCCTGTGATGGCATCGATAGGGCCCTTCTCCATCTGCTGCTTGATGGCACAGTACAGCATGAAGAGCGGCTCCCCAGCGCACTCCTGTTCGACAAGACACACAGCAAAACCAAAATCTAGGTGAAAGTGCCTCTTCGGCAGGACCTTATCCTAATGCATATGCTTATCTTTAAGCAGGTGCACGGTGCCACTGACTTAATCTTAACAACCGAAGTAAGTGTCTGCAGGTCTGCGGCCCAAAGCAGCACTTGGAGAGGAAAGCCAACGCCAAGGGCCCATTACTCAATGTGGGTATCATCCTTGGCTTGCCTCCCCACTGCTGGAGAGAAGGAATCTGAGGGTATGTCTACATTACAGCTGCTACAGCAGCACAGCTATGGTGCTGCAACTATGCCACTGTAGCGCCGTAGTGTAGACTCTCCCTATGTTGATGGAAGGGGTTTTTCTATCGATGTAGCTAATCCACCTCTCCAAGACGGCAGACGTCTTCTGTCGACCTCACTGCTTCTACACTGGGGGGTTAGGTCGACCTAACTATGGTGCTCAGGGTGTAAAATTGTTCACAGTCCTGAATGATGTAGGGAGAGGAGTTGTTTGGGGTATTCCAGGGGGTACAGCGAGGTGAAATGGGATTACACCGAGCAAGGAAAGTTACACTGAACAGTAAGGCGGGCACATTCCCCATCAGAGAGATCCAACAGCCTGTGCACAGGGCTCCAGGGAAGTGGTAGAAGCTCCATTACCTGGGTTATTTTACATTACACTGAAAAAAGCAGTCAAGAGTTGACTGTAGGGAACTACACTTTCCTGGGTGGGGCATGGACTAGATGACGCAGGTAGGTCTTTTTCTGAGGTGTGAAAGCCTCCTACGTGTCCTACACATGCAGCCCATCAGGGCTCACTGCTGGATGGTGATGATAGTCTGTTCCTTCAGCTGAATAGAGACAGGGAGACATGCACTAGGCATGCTTCATTGCAGGCTTGTCACGCACAGAACATTTCAAATGTGCAACATGCAACCTCAGGGTTGAACAAAGCTAAGCACGGAGATGGTTAGCTTAGACTCCACTAATTTAACTACATCTCCAGATGCACATAGCACATTTCCAGATCTCTGCTCTGCTATTGTCTCCCCCTTACTTTAGGCCTTGTCAGGCATTTTAAAGGCTGGAGTCACCCACTAAGTCTTGGGCAGGAGGAGAGCTATGGAAGCATAAGGAGAATGGGTAAAGACAGAAGAGGATCTCCACTCAGTCTCCCCCTCACCTTTAAGAATTTATGGAGGAGGAAGGCAAACCAGTTAGTCAACATCTTCTCAGCCACAGACTCGGTCCTGGAAAAAGACGAGAAGACATTTCATCATGTCTATTTAAAAAACTCAAAATAAATGACTTCCCGTCACACCAGTGACCCCGCATCTCAATAGTGCGGGAGAGCTGGGAAGTTTGAAAGCAACTATGGACAAAAGCAAAACTGACTTCTTGGACTAGTCTCGCCCTCCCAAACTGAGTGAGGTATCGCTAGTTACAGACTCTCAGCATCCCTTAGCAGATAGGGCGGCACTTTTCCCACAGGCCTTTGGCCATGTGACCATCTTCTAATCACCCTCTCTGAGTGAACAGTGCCCATCTGGAGCACAAATTCACAGCATTAAGATTCTGCACTGGAGGATCTGGCATCATTGTCCCTCAGCCCTGCCCCCTCCCACATTTAGCTGACAAGCGTATGCAGATTGCTCAGGAACAGAAAGGAATAAAGACCAGCTGACAGCCCGTCATGAGCCCCTCTGACAGGGATGCCTGGTGGCACTTTAACTCCTTGCACGTGGTGCAAATTATACCCTATGGCTCAGTAAATCACTGGAATTTGCAGTGGTTGCTGGCAATCAGGGACAGCAGAGTGACAATGGCAGGGGAAATTGCAGCTTTCTCTGCAGCCCCACCCAGCATTCTCTCCCCACATTGTGCCCAAGATTATCTCTAATTTAAATACAATGGCTCCTAATGATAGTTTTTAATGCTGGCTCTGCAGGATTGCTGGGTCTCTCTTTAAAGAGACACTGTTCCTTTTCTTGGACATGGGGAAACGCTTTTGAAAGCAGCACTGGGCTGGTGACAGGACGAGGGGCCCCCTCATCTAGGAGACCCTGAACTGTGCTGCAAATGTGTTCAGAAGCGGCGGTCAGGCAGGCTTCCAAGAAATGGTTGTTGCTAGCATGGCTATAGATCAGTGGACAAGGATGTTTCTTTTGTTGCCAGCTGTGCTAGCTGAGAATGTGCTGTAAATGAATCCCCGTCCTAGGCGGTCTAGCTCTCTGTGCACTAGGGCTTTTCTGATCCTGCCCGGCATTACTCTTAGGCTGCCTTTAGTACTTGGGATTAGCCCCAATTTCAGCTATCGGTAACAGCAACTGCTGGGCCTGAAACAAACAAGCAGCTGCCCTTTAAGTGCCCACTCCATCTTGCAAAGCATGGCTTTCCTTGTCTAGACACAGTGCTACTGGTCACCCGCCGTAGCCTCAGGCTGTCTCTACACTAGCCACTTTTCTGAAAAGTTTCCCACCCTTGCTTAGGGTGGCTAGTACAGAGAGTGCTCCAGGCAGCTACTGGCATTTAATTCATCACAACTCTGCTCTGACTGGGTCTGAGCAGCCCTGTGCATAACTAGCCTTGCCTAGACTAGTGCTATCAGCAGTAGAGCAGCACTGGTAATGAATTAGGGGCCCTATTTTTGCCAGTGTAAACAACGCTGCAGGCACTGTTTAGAGTAGGGCATTAAAAACCATTAGCGTAGAGTCATAACTAGAGAGACACCATGGGTCTAGTCTAGTGGATGTAGAACTGAACTGAGACTCAGGAGACCATGGTTCTAGTCCTAGATGAAATGCTGATGGGGCGGCCGTGTGACCTTCTCGGGGTCACAGCTTCCCCTCCCTCATTCAGGGGATGTCTACACTGCGAAGTTGTGGACAAAACTTTTGTCTTTCGCCACGGGGGTGGGGTGGGGGCTTTTTTAAGTACCCGTGAAAAACGAAAGTTTTGCCGACGCAAGTGGCAGTGTGAACAAGGCTTTGTCGGCAGGAGCGCTCCCCTGCCGACAAAGCTAACGCCGCTCGCGGGGCTGGAAGTATTTTGTCGGCAAAAGTACCGACAAAGAGCGTTTACACACGCTGACATTTAGCGACAAGGCTGTGTCGACACAAGGCCTTGTCGCTAAAAGCTGCATGGTGTAGACAAGCCCTCAGTCTGTCTTGTCAGACTGTGAGCCCTTTGGGTCAGAGACTGCCTCTCACGGTGTCTCTGTATAGTTCCCAGCACTCTCCAGCTCTTACTGGAATACAGATGACAATACTAATGTAAGAGGGTTTGTGCTAACAGCAAAGCTGGTTGAATAGTAAACAGAAGTTACAGATTCACCAGTATTTCAGCCATCAAAAGCAATGAGTTCTATTTGCTAGGACACCAGGAGTTATATTATCCACACTTATCAGTATATAACATCTGGAGGGTATTCATGAAAACGTCTGTAAATCCCGAAATAATTGAAACAAATGATTAATTGTCTGAAAATTCATGCTGGAAAGTGCCATATTCATTGTTCTGTTGAAAATTTTTCATACATCCAATCAAAGAGGAGAAACAATAGCACGTGACTTAGGCAACCAACAACCAGCCACGAATAAAGAAGAGCCAGTAACAAACAGTCAAATCAAACAGCAGGAGAACACCACAGCATCTGACAACTATTCCTCCAGGTTATTTGGTGAATGCTAACATGGTAGAAAAAAAATCAGGATCAATTTGTGAAATGTTTGCTAATTGAGAAAGGGCTAACTTCCTAAGGAATATTCCTAACGTACAGCAGGACCAGTTCTCGTAAGTTAATTTCAGTTTAATGCAGAACGTAACATACCGTCCCTCTGGATGCTACAGAAATAATCAGGTTAAACAGTTGTGTGGCACAACTGTGTTATAACATGGTTTCTTCTTACCTGTGTGGACAGAACCTACCCCCCCGCGCCATGCCATAGCCCTGTTAGGGACCTGTGTTCTAACCCTGACAGATACATAACTACAATACTGCACGCTTATACATTCAAAAAATTTTTGAGAACAAACATTACATTAAGCCCTTAACAATTGCTGACGGTACCAGCATGTCCCAACATTCCACTGACTCGATAGTACACCTGCGGTACAGCTGTCATTGCAGAAGGTATCAACACTTAAGGGGTTAACATGCTCGAATTCTTTCCTTAGCTGAAGCAAAAAAGCCACTTCCTTCATCAAGGAGTCCAAGGAGTTGGAGAGTGCCTAGCTCTTCACAAGCCTTAGCCTGTTGTGTATCTTTTCCCTGCCCTCATCTGCCATGGTTAGTCTTTGAAATCTGATCCATGCTGGAGGTCTCAGCAAGTCATCCTTTAAACTCTGTCTGCTGTGTTTTGGAGCGACCTCCCTTTCTCTCTGCTGTGTCAGAAGAGGTCTACTGAGCTGCAAAAACAGCTCCTTCAGAGTACTGCACTAGCCCCTCAGCAGATATCATTTTTAACTCTGTGGTCGGCCTGGTATCTGGAATGCTGTTAGAGATCTGTCTCTGAAAATACAAAATAAGCTCCCGAAGATTAAGGCAGCAGGGGACAATCCCCAGACTCAGAGAAAACCCTTTTCATATTGACCACATAAATGAGGGCAAAGTACTCTCCGGAGACAACTTTCCAAAAAAGCCTGACACCAGAAACCAAAGCCTCTGGCTGCTCCTCTGACTCACTGGGGTGCTGGGAATAAAACTAAATAGAAAGGACCAGGAAAACTCCAAAATCAATATTTATGTTACTAATTTTCCCTTGTTTTGTCTAGTCTCTGAAGTGCCATATGCTCTCTGTGCCAGGGATGAGGACAGTCATTTGATTTAATGTCAGCTTTCCTTCAGTCTCCCACGAGGGGGAAGAGCAGAAAGGCGAAATAAAGAAAGAAGGAAAGGACTGAACACCAATTATCAAGCGCTGCCACTAGAGAGCTCAAAAGTAAAATAAAATAATTTCTCACTTTGTGGCGTCTCATTCATTATTAACTTAGAACAAAATGTTCTAACTTGGAATGTTTTGCATACTAAACAATACCCAAGGAGCTCACAGATCCACAGGGCTGGAAGAGACCTTTACTTTGTAGGTTTCCAACTGAAACATCTGGATCTTCACACCACAAAGCTGGCTTTCAAGTTCTTAGGCTTTGTTTCTTCTGGATCCTTTGCATTCTTGCCTCTTTTAAATGACTGCTACATACTGCTAACCCCTTTGCTGCTGCTAGAATGTGTATGTGCCACATGGCCACCCTCCATCCCTCAAAGCAGCATCAATCCAGGTTGGTACAGCAGCAAAGGGGAAGCAGGTACTTTATAAATGTGCAGCAGGTGCTCCATTTCTCAGACAAAAGGGGTGAGATGGAATAGATGTACAGAAAGGGGGAAAAGATAGAAGGGTACATGGTGCTGGAGAAGTTTCTTTTTTCCTACATGGAGACACCTTAGGAGACCAGCTGGATGATGGGAGCAATGGGTGGTTTGGTCTCTCCATAAATGCCAGACACTGGTGTACTAGGCTCTGGGTCACACAAGGCAGAGATTCTGCAGTCTCCATCTACAATAAGGATTTTCTGAAATTCTCCCACCGCTGGTTTAGCCTCAGTGCAGCTCTGTCTGGCTAGCAACAGGCTTCAGGGCTCCAGGCTTTTTCACCACCATGTTGCCTGGCGTTGCTCAGGGCATGTCCAGATGACATGGTGGTAAAAGTGTGGGTGGCTGGACTATGCTGGCACTTTCCTCATTGCAAGCCCTGGTGAAGCTGCACCAAGACTAGTGCAGTGGCAGAAGCATTTCAGAAAGTTCTCAGCGTTCATTAGGCCAATGGGTTGGAAGCCTGCGTTTCATCCCAAATGCTTCCAAATGATACATTGAACCTGTAGCCACCCTCTGTGTTTGGGGCACCAGCAACGCAGGCAAGAAGGCTGAAATTTTCAAAGGAACACGGGTGTCCAAATCCCATTGAATTTCATCAGGAGCTGGGCAGCTAACTCTGTTGGGCTCCTCTGAAAATCCCAGCTCACATGCTTAACAATAGGGGAGAGGAAATTGGCACTGAAGACAGTGGGACAAACCCCTTAACTCTTTACAAAAAATGCCATGGTGCCCTATGGTAGGTTTCTCTCTCACTTACCGCCGTGTAACTCCACTGATATCAGCGGGGCTACTTCTGACTTACACTGGTGTAACTGAAAGGGAAAATCGAGCCCTCAGTGTCAATGCACGGCTGGCAGGACATGTTCTATGGTTTCAGCT